ATAATGGATTGTGTACTTGAAAATTGATGAAAGCACACTTAAGAACTCTCACCACCAATAACAGAAAAGATAGGCAAAGAAATGAAAGTGGATATAGTAATTACCCTGATATAGCTATTCAATGACAGACACATACATGAAACATCATATTTGTACGTTGTAGATAGGTACAATTTTATCAATCAATCAAAATAAAAGTAATAAAGATAAGCCGGGCATGGTATTGCATCCTGTAATCTCAGAACTTGTAGGTGGTGGCAAGAGGACAGTAGTTCTGAGCCAACCTCAGTTACACAGGGAGTTTAAGACTAGCCCAGGCTATGGGAAACCATATCTCAAAGAACACCAGACAGACAGACAGACAGACAGACAGACAGACAGACAGACAGACACACACACACACACACACACACACACACACACTGGCTATATTGGCAGATTCCTGTAGTTCCACTTGGGAGGCTAAGATAAGAGCATCACCATGAGTTCAAGACCAGCCTGGGATACATAGTAAACTCCATCTCAAGGAAAAAAAATAATAAGGTTGAAAGTCAAGGGAAAAGAAATAAGAAAGAGATAAACAGAGAATACGAAGTCGGTGACTGTAAATGAAATCCCTGTTATCTTATTATCAAAACTATTTAAGGAGCAAATATTTAGTAAAAATTGATGTGCAGGAGCTAGAGAGATGGCTTAGCAGTTAAGAGCACTGGCTCTTCTTGCAGAGGACAGGGGTTCAATTCCCAGCACTCACATGGTGGCTAACAACAGTTTGCAACTCCAGTTCCAGGGGATCCAATGTTTTCTTTTCTCTGTGGACATTGCACAACATGGGCACACTTATATACATGCAGACAGTATACTCATACACATAAAATAAAAAGAAATAAAAAAGAAAAACAAATTGATGTGCAATTTGTATCTGAAAAGGTCATTATATAAAACATCATTTTGTAGATATTCAGTATAACAGTCAGTAGACCACGGTTGGGATAATTTTTTTCCCTGTATTTCACTGTTTGGATTCAAAGGACATTAAAGGTATAAGGGACAACACCCCAACCCATTGATTTAAGAGGTAAAGGGTACAGAAACCTCCAGAAGTTTCAATGATCTGACTTGAGTCAGCCTGCAAATAGGGGAAGTAAGAATGAAACAGAAATACGCACTTAGGGATGGAATCTTAGCTTAAGTCAGATCTGTTGTATAATTTACAACAAATGACAGCTTTCATTTGGGCCAGTATCATTAACTCATGGGAACTTCTGTTAGGAATTTTGATTTGGACCCAAACTCTAACTACAGAATGATATTGTTATGGAGACTTCTCTCTGATCACTGCTCAGTTCTCTGGTCCTTGGGACTGTCACTGAAAGAATTTAGACACACAGGGAGTTGTGTAGAAGGCAGAGTTTAGGATAAGGTAAAATGAAGCATTCTCAAGGTGAGCGTGGGCAATGGCCAAGGGGGCCAGTGCAGAGAACACCATCTCCTGGACTAAGACAATGGTCAGGGAGCCCATTGTTTCAACCTACATTCTTAGGTAGGCTTTATACTATTCTTGAGGAATAGCTTCCTGTAGGTGATGGACAGGCCTATATGGATTAAGGGAAGGGACAATGGTATGTTCAAGTGTGGCTTTTTCCTCTGGGTTTCACATGATCATCCCATCGCTGTCTTAGAGATAGCTTTGACCTGGTAGTCATGATGACATGTGTGTGTATGGACATCAGAGGATAATTTGTGAGAGGGTCCCAGGGACCAAATTCAGGTCATCAGGTTTACAGGCAAGTACCTTAGCCTGAGGAGTCATTTGGTCAGCCCTGTAAATACTTTAAATTTTTTTCCCTTAAACCAAAATCTCTGAGTAATGCACAATGGAACCCTCCCAACTTCTTCCTGCTGTGGGAGAAAGGTCTCAGAAATGGGT